CTGTCCCCTGCTGATCTTTTGCTCTCTGTGTGGGAGGCTGTGCCGGAAGGAGACTTCTGTTACTACACAGGGCACAACTGCCAACATGGACGCTTTGCAATGCGAGAGGAGCATTCGTATATATCACATCTTGACGGTAGTGGATGTTTGTCGGCACCAGCCGTGCACACTGACCGGGCTTGAGGACCTCAGGATGCCAGCTGTGCCCAGCCTGTTCCCCAGGACCCCACACCTGTGTTCTTTTGTCTTTCCTGGTCACTGCTGGCTGGTGGGGCTGTGTAAAGGACTCAGCTACAGCCATCCAGGCCCCCAGTTGCTGGCTGGGGGTCAAGCTCCTCTAGAGGTAGACTTTACAGTATCGCCCAGCTCTGCAGAGGGATGGTGGCCTCCAGACGCCGAGGAGCGGAGCTGATTCAGAGAGATCAATAAGTGATGGCAGACATCACTGCGAAAAATGGTATATTTGGGTATTGCTGGCTACCTGCTCATTTTTGCCATATTCTTTTATCTAAATGTTGTTTTCTTATTCACGGACAAGCCAACTTATGAAGTGAATAAATATATTGACTTCGGACCTGTATTTTGTTTAGCAAACATTTCCCTGCAATTCGTAGTTCTCTATCATTTACCTTTGAGATGTTCTAAAGCTTGCGGCTGAGGGCGCTTGCTTTGTCTCTGCGACTTACGCTGGTGGGCAGGCGTGGACAGCCTCAGGGCTCACTGTAAGCCTCTGGACTTGTGGCTGTCTTAACCAGGTTCTCTCCATGCTGATGGAGGATTCTCTGTTCTGTGGATGACCCCAGCAGAGCAAAGCCCTCTCTGTGAAGGCCTGCAGCAAGAGCCAATCAATGCAGGAGTGATGTTGCTCTTCTGAGATGTTAGGGGTAGAGCAGGCCTTGGAGCTGGGTCAGTCCAGCCAGGCCTGGATGGAGGACAGAGGATCCGAGTTTAGGTTTAGAGGGAGGTCTCATGTCCTAGAGGCCTCATTCAAGGTTGAAAATGTACATTTCCCAGTGAGGTTGGTGACGCTGTCTGGGAGGCCACCTAGACCCAGGACGGTGGCCCAGACAGATGGGACTTGGGGCAGCAAGTGAGAGGTACCTACAGAGGGACGAAGGTTGCTGGGGCTTATTAGCAGAGGCCTTTGCTGCTCCAGGGGTTTTACCTTTTAAGATACAGGTCTCTGTGACCCTTGACCAGGGTTCTGTCTACACAGCACATCGGGCACTGACAACCCCAGTGGCTTCCATGGCTCTTCAGCCTCTGGTGCTCCTGGGACTCTTCAGGCTTTGCTGTCACTAGTGTCGAGGTGCACAGCCTCTATGAGGGCCATGGTGGTAGCTTGGGGAGCAGAGGTCAGCCCGGGTAGGGAAGGCTGAGATTTGGGGGTGAGCTGGCAAGACAGGAGGCTCTGTGGGGAGGTGGATGGAGCCGTGGTCTGGGTCTGAGGGTATCACTCATGCCTGATTCTCTGACCCCCTATTTTCCAGGTGCACAGAGCAGGGCTATTAAATCCCCCACTGTACAGCTGCTGCTAGTCACTTGTCCTGTGCGCACCTTATTCTGTTGGCAAAGGGGATGGGTCGGAAGGGCAGGAGACAAGGGGTGGCAGGCGAGAGCGTGGAGCAGCTGTGCGGCCAGCACAAATGTGTCTATTTTGTTCTTGTCCTTTCTGTTGCTTCCGGTTACCCCAGGAGTCAGCAATGTGCGGGAGACGAGGGACTGAACAGCTCACCATGGATCAGCTGACCGCTCGGGCCTCAGTTTCGAGTTCCTGTCCTCAAGAGCAACACTGGGAACTAGGCTGGCCCCAGGTTTCGGTACAGTGCTGCTGTGGCCTCTAATAGTGGCCTCTGAGACAAGGGAGGAGTCTGGGAAAGCCAACACTCACGCTCTTCTCACTGAGGGCCTTAGGGCTGCACCAACAGGGACCTAGCAGGGCTGGACCCTTAGGAACACGGCCTTTTAGAATGGGTGAGGCTGTAGCCACTGGCTCTTCCCCTGTGTGGGTGAGCTGCTCCTTATGGGGGTGTCTGGAGTGCTGAGCCTCCTGGGGGCTGGGGCAGGGGAGTGTCCTCTACCCCTGCTTTTGCCCTCTGCTGCTTTCGCAGACACTGGCCACAAAGCCCTGGAGAGGGGGGCAACAGTCTGAGTCCCTGCCCTCTTCAACTAGGAGCTGGCTGGAAAATAGAAGCCATGGTCAGAGACAGAAAAAAAGCAAGCGTTTATTTGTTTGTTTGCTTATTTATTTATTTATTTATTTCTGGCCAGGCTACTCAAAGGTAGGTACCACATTTTTCCCTCCTGATGGCAGCATGGTCAGGGCTACCTGGCTAGGGTGGGGGACAGATTGCAGAGCCCTGTGGACAAGCTTACAGAGGAGGGGTCCCACTCACCCAGAAGCACCAAGGGGGCACTTGAGTGTCATGGTCAGGGTGCTGGAGGAGTTGGGCTGAGTGGGTCAGCAGGACCGCTATGAACTCTGCTGAAACAAGGCATGGGGCGGGGGACCGTGGGTAGAGGGGCTCACTGGTACGGGTTGGGGTCACATGGAGTCTTGTGCTTGTAGGACATGTCTTCATACACTACACACCGTGAGTCCTTCTTCCTTGAGGCACACAGTTCCTCGATCTGAAAGGACAGCGGCAGTGGTCAGCATGGTGGTGCAGGTAGTGCGCCTGTTTTGAAGCAACCCCTTTCCTCGACAAGCAGTTTCCCCAGACTTGGGGAAGCAGAGCACGCTTCCATCTGCACCTGGCAGGGTGAACTGCAGGCAGGACCCAGGGCCAACGGCTGAGCGATCAGAAAGAGCTGACCGCTGTCGGGACCCTTTTCCCCTGTCGCACAGCACACGGGGACTCAAACACATTAACACATATCTCAGGGACTCCACATATCCTACATTCATACATGTCCATGCACACTCAAGCATCCCACACAGTACATACACATGCATGGCCACACACGTGCTGTCTCACTTTGTTGTGCACAGGGGCCTGGTCAGAAGCCCCACACTCTACCTCTAGGCTTCCCTCTGCCATTTTGTGTCCCCCTGCAAGATGCCTCATTCACACCCATCTGTGTCTTCAGTGCCTCTGACCAGATCTTTGGCCTGAAGCCTCTATCTTTCCTTCTGTCAGCCCGTGAGAAGGGCCAGCTCGTTGGTAACAGCCATAGGCTCACACTGACCTGTGTCTTCCTCAGCATGCCCAGCATCCCGAGGACCAGCCCAATGAGGAAGAAGCCTGCAGCCATGACAGCCAGGAGGAAAACTGATATCTCCTGAGGTTCCTGGGATACTTTTGATATCTCCTGAGGTTCCTGGGATACTTTTTCTGGGAAGATGAACAAAAAGAGCCATTGGTAGGAGAGGATTCTACTCGAGGCCTTAAGGTTCGAACCAGGAAGGAGCTACAGTGGCAGCAGAGGGGGAGCAACTGGAGGCTTCCAGGAACAAGTAGGCTCTGAGCAGACAGTTCCAGAAAGTGAAAAGAAGCTCCCTAGCAGCCAACGGGCTCCTGGCCTCGCCAGCAGTAGATGGGGGCATCCCCTACCTGTCACCACAAGCATGGTGGATGGGCCATCTTTTTTGATTTTTGTGACAGCCTGGCAGGTGTAGATGCCCATGTCTGCTCGCCGGAGGAGGCGTATGGTGATGGTCAGGTTGTTCTGGGAACCGGAGAAATCAATTCGGCCTGAGAAGTCCTTGTCTACTGTGGCGTTTTCCCCATCTTCAAAGTAAATCATATTGGAATGCCGTGGCCAGGTCTTCTTCAGGTAGATCCCCAGCAAGGCCTCACTTGTAGAGCAGGTGATGTTGATGGAATTCCCCTCAGAGGCAATCACGACGTCTGTGAAGGACCAGCCACCGTTACCACCAGGCTGGCGGAGAGATCTTCCCCCTTCCCGCATAGCACATGGGGACTCAAACACAGTGACACACACATATCTCACGGACTCCACATTCATACATGTCCACGCACACTCAAGCATCTCACACAGTATATACACACGCATGCTCACAGACGTGCTATCTCACTTTGCTGTGCACAGGGGCCTGGTCAGAAGCCCTGCACCCTTTCTCTAGGCTTCTCTCTCCCGTTTCTCATCCCTGCAAGATGCTTCTCTCAGACCCCTCTCTGCAGGACTGGTGTAGGGACTTGGTCAATCCTGTGCTAACATGGCATTTCAGAGAAGGTGCTGAGGGAACCCTGGAGCAGCGCTAGGTGCTGATACCCCTCTGACTAGCGGTCCATGGCCTCAGGGTGGGCTGTCTGCGACTCTGTTGCATCCCAGCACTAGGACTTCTTCCTTTCTGACCACTCCCCTCTCCGAGGCTCTACCCTTTCTCTCTCTAAGTCAGTCCCATCGCCTCTGTGCCTGCTCTTTCCAGTGCTGGCCGTGTCACCCGCCTTCCTCCCCTGTTTCCAGGCATCCAGAGCCTACGACTTTGTAGGAGGGGCACATGTTGTTCATGGGATTCCCACTCTTTCAGAGTCCAGCCTAGTTTGCTCTGCCCAGACCCCGCGCCACCTGTTTTCCTGTGTACACCAGCTCGAGGGCAAACCTCAGCACTTCACAGACAGAACGCTGTGCTTAAGGATTGTTCCTGGGAGCCGCAGCCTTCCTGTACTCTCATTGCAGAACCTTTGAACCCTACCACAGGACTTCCCACAGACAGCTGCTCTGAACGGGAACTAGAGAAAAACATCCTCACTAGCAACAAAGGCCACTGCTAATCATGTAAACAAAGCTTTCAAGTCTCAGCTTTTCCACAGACCTGAGGTGGCTTCAGGACCCCCAGGGAAGGGCTGAAACTCGGGAAGTCAAGACCAGTGCCAACCCTTCCCAGGCAGGTGTGTGAGGCTCCCCCTGGGAGCCCTATAATGTGGAGAAATGCTTACCTTGGGCATCCAGGGGGCCAGGCAGAACCATGACCAGTGTAAGGATCAAGACCGGCAGTGCATCCTTAGACATACTGCCCAGATCAACCGAGCAGGACCACATCATCAGCCACTCTGGCGGAAACACATTAGTGAGCAAGGTGACAGAGGCTCCCCCAAAAGCCCCAGGAGAGGAAGAAACAGGGGCGTGGTCTTACAATTTGGTTGGTGGTAAGTACAGAGGGAGGGCTTTCTGGAGGTGAAGGCGGAGTCTTGGTGGAGGAGCCTCACAGCAAACCAGGTCGGGGAACATTCTAACTACATCGCTACCGGACCCCAACTGTCCTCTTTGGCTGGTTGTCTGGTCCACCTCTTCATCGCCCCAACCCAGAGTCTCTACCAGAGACATCGAGAGAGAAGAGATAAAGGCTGGGGCTGTGGCAGAAAGATAAGGGGGTCTTAGAGTGTTAGAGGCCAGGAGGCAGCTGAGGTCTCCTCTGGTTTTTGGTATCATTTTCTGCTGGAACATGCTGAGGTCTACGGTGTCACCTGGCATCTCTACTCAATGGAGTCTCAGCACTGGCATCACAGAGCATACCTGGCTATAGTCCCAGAGAAGAAGTCACGTATAGGCTAGGCTATGGTTGCTCCTTCCTTAGAAGAGGGTTGAGTCAGGCCTGCTGGGTCAAAGGGTGGCCAGGAGCCCCCTCAACAGCAGCCCACCTGCTGGGGTGAGAGTGAAGACCCTGTGTCCGGCTCCCAAGTCAAGGGACATCTAGGACTCTTGTCCACCATGGAGCTTTATTTGGTGGTACCAGAGCCAGTGTGTGCCACAGTGAGGGGTGAAGTGTGTGTCCACTGTCCCATAGGGACCTAAAGCCAGTTCTTCCGTGGGGTCCCACTTGGAATGGCTGGAAGATGCGGGTAGATTGGTAGTGCTAGGATGTGCACGGGAAACGGTGTGGGGTACTCCAGGACACACAGGAGAGGAACTTGGGTAGAGGAAGGCCAAATTTGGAAGGTTTTGGGAACAAAGGATTGGGGACGGGGCAGGTCACGTGTGCCCAAGAGAGGGACAACAGGTAGAGAACCCCGTAACTTGAGAAAATGGGAGAGAAACATGAGGGAAGCTGGGTCAGGTGAGCAGTTGGGGAAATCATCACTCAAGGCCCAGAGGAGACAACCATGGTTACAGGGAAGCAAGAATATTCAAAGGCCTTAACCTAGCTCCCTCCCAGGATTCCTGTGGCCGTACACGGGGCACATGGACTGGACTGCTGCCACACCCAGGGCTAGCTTTGATGTAGCCTTCACATATGAACACTTTTGACTGTTTGAGGTAGCATGTGGCATGTTTCAGAGGTTACAGACACACATGGGCCCCGTGGACTGTGCCCAAATATAACCCAATGCTACGGGGGAGATGAAGGCCCAAACCCAACGCACTTTATTGATTACATAGACTCTTTTTTTTGAGACAGGGTTTCTCTGTAGCTTTGGAGCCTGTCCTGGAACTAGTTCTTGTAGACTAGGCTGATCTTGAACTCACGGAGACCCGCCTCTCTCTTTCTCTCTCTCTCCCCTCCCCCCAGTGCTGGGATTAAAGGCGTGTACCACCACCGTCCCCACAAGAGACACAGACTCTTGTGCCCCTGGATATAGGGCCATAGCCTCAGGGGCACTATGGTTGTGGCTTTGGAGGTCATCGTCACCAGGCACTGTCTTTAGCTCAGGGCTTCATTGTTAGGTCTCAGCATATGGTGTTCAGTAAGTGTTATGGTTTTTTTTTTAAAAAAAATGTTTCTAACAATCATATTTCCCAGAAGATGATGATTTCTTCCATCCAATGATTTACCGTACTCATTTATTTAAAGATCGGAATCACAGAGGTTTACCTGCAGATTGGGTCACGGCATACGTAGGGGGAAAAAAATCACCCAAGTTGAGATTACCATGAGAAGACAAATGGACTCAAGAGGAACAGAGGGTGAACATGGGGGTGAGAGGGCAGTCAGGGTGGGGATCTGTAAGGAGAGGTCCTTAGGGAGATTAAGGTCTCCTGAAGCTTTGGTCCCTAGGGCTCCCTGCAGGCGGACCCACTCTGCCCCCTTGTGGTGGTAGCCGGATGGCGTTGCTTGGAAGGCTAAAACCAAGGGCCTCCGGAACCTGACAGCTGGGCCAGTGGCATTTGTGGCATTTGTTATTACTGTGAATCAGAACAAAGGCGTGACCTTGATCTCCTGAAGCAAACTGACGTGGTCCTCGCTGGTGTTGGAGATTATTAGAGAGAGGAGAGCGAGATGATGGGTTCTGCTGAAGTCGTGCTCTCTCCCTCTCTCTCTCTCTCTCTCTCTCTCTCTCTCTCCCCTTCCCTCTCTTCCTAGGTCACTCTCTCACTCTCTCGCTGTTTCCAGAGCCTCACTATGTCACTCTGGCTGGTATGGAATTTGCTATGTTGTTAAGGCTGCCTTGGACTTAGAGCAATGGCCTGGCCTCTGCCTTCCAAGTGCTGGGTTTTAAAGACAGGAACCACCACTTATAAAGGGCAGAGGCAGTGGAGTCTGAAGGTCAAGGGAAGTGAGAAGCAACCCCCCAAGGTTTTCAAGGGTTGTGCTTTCTGAGGTCATTCACAATTTATTTAGCAGCAGCTGAATTTCTAGACGCGCTAGGTGAATGTAGCTCTTGTTTCCTGTGGCGTCATTCTAATGTGTGGCTTTGCTCTGTGGGTTCCTTTTCTCTGAATTTTGTTGGGGTTGTGTGTGCGAGTGCATGGCCACACACAGGATCAACCAGAGATGTGTCTAGCGTCCTGGAACAAAGCATGGCAGAGATAGCTGTTTCCTCAGAATGGAAACTTGAGGGAGGAGGGAGGTTCATCAGGTTCTGGGAGCTAAGCAGGAAGCTCAAAAAGCTGTAGATTCTGGCGGGCAGTGGTGGCGCAGCCCTTTAATCACAGCACTCAGGAGGCAGAGGCAGGCGGATCTCTGTGAGTTCGAGGCCAGCCTGGTCTACAGAGCGAGTTCCAGGACTGGCTCCATAGCCACTGAGAAACCCTGTATCGAAAAACCAAAAAATAAAATATAAAATAAAATAAAAGAAAAAAAGATAACTGTAAGATTCAGGAGGCTCCTCTCCAAGTTTGTAAAAGGAGCAAAAAATTGCTATGGAAAGAGACTGGCCTTTTTGTCTCTGGTGTCCTTGAACTACCAGCTATCCCTGTGTCTGTGCTGAGGAGTTCCATCCAGAGGGAGCCTTCGTCTGGCGATGGATGGAGATAGAGACAGAGACTCACACTGGAGCACTGGACTGAGCTCCCAAGGTCTAAATGGGGAGCAGAAGGAGGGAGAACATGAGTAAGGAAGTCGGGACCATGAGGGGTGCGTCCACCCACTGAGACAGTGGGACTGATCTAATGGGAGCTCACCAAGGCCAACTGGACTGGGAGTGATGGAGCATGTGATCAAACTGGACACTCTGAATGTGGCTGGCAATGAAGGCTGACTGAGAAGCCAAGGACAATGGCACTGGGTTTTGATTCTACTGCATGGTCTGACTTTGTGGGAGCCTGGTTTGTTTGGATGCTCACCTTTATAGACCTGGATGGAGGGGGGAGGACTTTGGACTTCCCACAGGGCAGGGAACCCTGACTGCTCTTAGGACTAGAGAGGGATGGGGAGGTGGAGGAGAGGGGGAAGGACGGGGGAGGCGGTGGAAATTTTTAATAAATAAATAAATTAATTAATTTTTTAAAAAAAGAAAGAGAGTGTATTGGGCTGAAAAAAAAAGGCTCAGACCTGAGTTCAATTCCCAGTACCCACATCAGGTGGCTCACAACTTCCTGTGACTCACCTCTGGCCTCATGAGCATTTGCCCACACACAGATAAAAACACACAAAATAATAAAAGTAAATCTAAAAAAAAAAAAAAAGCAGAAAAAGAGAGAATGAGAACAAGAGAGAGAGTGCGTGTCTAGGAGACTCTAGCCTGGCGGCGGTGGTGTAATCCCAGCAATCGGGAGGCAGAGGCATTTGAACCGGGTGGTGGTGGTGCATTCCTTTAATCCTAGCACTCAGGAGGCAGAGGCAGGCAGATTTCTGTGAGTTTGAGGCCAGCCTGGTCTACAGAGTGAGTTCCGGGACAGCCAGGGCTACACAGAGAAACTCTGTCTTGAGAAACTCTGTCTTGAGAAACCAGAAAGAGAGAGAGACAGAGACAGAGACAGAGAGAGATAGATAGACAGACAGATAGACAGACTATGGTGGTGTTAACTGCAAGTTGGGCAGAGACCCAGGGGCTGAAAGAATCAAAGACAAGGTCAGGAGAGCACTTGAACGGCCCTGTGAGTCGTGCAAACTGAGGTCAATCTCTCAGGAAATGGAACATTCTCATGGCTGCCTTTTCCTGTGTGGTACAGGATGGTCTGCTTCTTTGTGACGGTTGCAGGCTTACGGAGAACAGTCAAGTAAGAGACATCTCAGCTCCGGCCCAGTGTTCTAGCACCCACAGATCCCTTTACGTGTGTTGGAGGCAGCTGCAAAACGGGGGACATATGCTCCGGATTAACCATTTTCAAAGAAGCCTGGGACAGATGGCTCAGTGAGGGGCCTGTTAACATAGCACTTTCACCCCCTCCCCCGCCCACTACCCTGAACCTCTCCAGCCACTGAACTTCCCGTTCCCTAGTTTCTCTTTACTTATAAGGCCCAGTCATTTGGCTTTGTGCTCTCTTGGCCCCTTGGGTCATCTCTTGGCTCCATTCCTGGACCTCCTCTCTTCCCTCCCTCTTCTCTTCCTCTCTTGACCCGTCCCCTGCCCCCTACCCGGCCCCATCTGCTCTCCTGGCCCAGTTCAGTCTAGACCCTTCCAGATGCCTCCAACTCCTCTCTTTCATATCCACAATAAAACCTTCTCAACCACAGCTAGGGGCAGTCAAATCCCCATTTCCACTCAACACCTTATTAGGAAAATAAAACAGTCTCAGACCACAATACCAAATCCCTAAATTTCATCCTCTCCTTGAGTGGTCTTAACTTATAGATAATTTTTGTGTGTGTGTGTGTGTCCTAGCTTCTACTTTTGTTGAAATCCCTGGGGCTGGAAAGATAGCTCAGTGATTAAGAGGGTTTCCTGCTCTAGCAGGGGACTTGGTTTTGGTTCCCAGCATGTGTTTGATGTTTTTCACAACCCAGGGCCACCAGCCCAGAAGTAGTACCACCCACTGTGAATTTCTCTCTCTCTCTCTCTTATCAACATAGAAAACACACCACAGGTTTGCCCATAGGCCAATCCCGTGGAGTCATTGCCTCAACTGAGATTCTCTCTTCTAAAATAACTGTAGCTTGTAGCAAGTTGACATAAAAGTAGCCAGCATATCCATCCTTCTTGTCCGGCTCAGCATTAGTGCAGGAATGGGAACCAGAATGTGGGTAATCAGATTCTTTCTTCTTCTTCTTCTTCTTCTTCTTCTTCTTCTTCTTCTTCTTCTTCTTCTTCTTCTTCTTCTTCTTC